GCCTTCATTTTTTCAACGCCGATGCCTCATTGGACCATCGCACGCATGAGGCCGGCAGCGAGACTTGTAACTCCAACATTCGGAGAAATCGAAGCGTGCTTCAAATAAATACAGAAAATGCAATACAGACATGTGGCCGCTCACCGTCCACAAGAAAAAAAAATAATAATAATAACAACAAGAAACTTAAAAATATTTGTCATGTGCCTCCCCCATTAGTCGTCCGAGCCCGTCGGGGATTGGGGGAGGTCCCACAACGGCGAGGGTGAATCTTGCAAACAAGCGGCGGTCCGCGTGGATGCCGCTGCGCGCAGGCGACGTGGGCAGGCGGAGGGGATGCCCAGCGCTGCGCCCCGGTGGCTCGGGCTGCCTTCTGCGCCTGCGCCTGCCTTCGCCCCGTCAGCCGCTGCTGCGCGCGGCGCGCCCAGCTGCGCACTGTTTACTTGGGGGAACTTTCTCCTCCCGATATGTCTCGTCTGTATGCCTCTCCATCGCCGCCGCCGCCGCCGCCGCTGGCCTCGCGGGTCCTTCACCCCCGCGCCCACCGCCGCCGCTGCCGCCGGAAACCCGGCCCGACTTGCCGCCGCCGCCGCCGCCGCGCCCGGCGCGCGCCGGGGCCGTGAACGCTCGGGTCTCGCCCCGACCCACTTGAGCCCCAGTCTGCAGGTGAAACTATGAAACGTACGGCACGAGGCGGAGCGCTTGCTCGCTGGCGCGCGCCCGTGCGTCGGCTTCCAGCGCCCCGCCCGGCGCCTCCTGCACCGGCGCCCTCCCTCCAGCGGCCACCCTCCAGCGGCCACCCCTCTAGCGACCAACCCTCCCAGCGCCCTCCTTCCAGCCCCTCCCTAGAGCGCCCTCCTCCAGCCCCTCCCTCCCAGCGGCATCTCGAGCGCCCTCTCCAGACGCCCTCCCACCAGCGTGCACCACCCGCCCTCTCCGGACCGCTGACTTCGCTCGAGGGCGACTATCGAAGGCCGCCTCCTTTTCAATGCGATTCAAGCGAAGCGGTTTAGCTTTGGCCTTGCATTTTTTTTCTCGCTGGTGCTTGTATCTATTACTTTGCAAAATTCCGGTCCCGCCATAGGAAACTTTACATGTTACAAAAGCTCTTTTCCGGACTAAAACTGTTTCCGAGTTCCGTTACTGACTCGACCCGCTCGCCCATTATGGAATGTTCTTTTCTTATTGAGAGTTACAAAACCTTCCTTCTTCCTTCCATCTTGGACCTGTCCGTCCAGAGGGATTTCGAGATTTTGCGAGGAAAATTGTCACACATCCGACGTGGAGTTATTAGTTATTTTTTAATATTCGTTTCGAGAATAACTGATAGGCCTAACCTTGTGCATCGTTTGAGCTGAAATGAAAAAAGAACCCGAGGAAAAGGTGAGAAAAAATGTCGTAGAGAAAAATAGGAAATTGAGGAAAAGAAGTATAACTTAAATGCTAGGGAAAGAGAGGAAATGTGAGCAAGAAGAAAGAGGAGAAAGAGACCAAAGCAAAAAAGGGTTTCAGAAAAACAACAGAAAACAAAAAAGAATGGAAACTGAAATGAGAAAAAGGTGATTAGATGAAAAAGAGAAAAGAGGAATGGAAATTCCAGAGCAAAGAAAAAGAGCGGCGATGAAAAAGTTGGCGAAAACGAAAAGCGATGAGAACAAGGTGAAGTGTCCGGGGACGCGGCGGGCGGCGCGAGGCGTATTGCTTCACCTTCGGCGGCGATTGCGCCGCAGCTGTGCTTGCACAGGCTTCGTGGGCGGCCGGCGCTCTGGTCAGCGCGACGCCACGCTCAGCGGCGCTTTCTCGCCCCGCCCCCTTCGCCCCGCAACGATCGCTTCCCACGGGCATCGCCCCGCGGGCGGACGCGCGCTTCGCCGCCTTTTCAAATTCCGCGCTCCACCGCGCCGCCCCGGGCTGACGCGTTTGGACGCGCCTGTCCCGCCCCCCTTACCCCGGTCGGCCGGCCGGCCGGCCGCCGGCCTTGCCTCCTGCCTGCCCCTGCCTAGCCAGTTTGCTCGTCGGTCTCCGCGCCGCGCCGTCCGTCCGACGCCTCTCCCGCCCGTCCGCGCGCACGCTAGCCGCGCCCGCCCCCCGCCCCTCGCTGGAGCCCTCCTATGCCGCCGCGCCAGTGCCAATGCCGCCCGCCCTGCGCGCTCGGGTCGATGACGCGGCAGCGGCGAGGGGCGTCAGCGGGCCCCCGCGCAGCCGCTCCGAAATAGCGAACGACGCGGCGGCGGCAGGCACGCGCGCGGCACTATACACGGAGTTCCCGCCGCATCCCACAGATGGCTCTGGCCGCGCCCTCTCGCTCGCCTCCGGTGCGCCGCGGGTCGGACAGATAATATTCTGGCCTAGATTTCGCGATCGGCGTGTATATACGCCACGTTCTGTCACAAGCAATGGGGCCTCCCGGCGGGAAGAGCATCGTAGACGGGGCAGGGAACGTGGAAGAAGACGGAAGTCGTGGAATAGAGCCGCCTGCGCATGAAGAGGGCGGGTAAAAATTCATTATTAACACCGGCGCCAGAGTTCCTGACCTCGGCGTTGTGAGCGTGCAGAGAGAGAAGAACGCGACCGACGGCCGGGCTGCAGCATGACGCAGAACAGACGCGCGCAACAGGCCTCCGAGCTCGGCACCGCAAGAGAGATTCTACACCCGAGAGGGCGCGTCACTCATGATTGGTCGGATAAGGCAACTTCAGGCGGCAGAGGACAATTGAGGTCACCACACACATGGAAAAAATCGCGAGGCGGCCGCCGGCCATTGGTGGCGCGCTTTCCACATGACCTTAGCGCTGCAGCGGGAGAGAGAAAGAGAGGCAGCGTCGGCAGAGGAGGAGACGAACGACATTCCTCCTCCTTTTGTTTATGCACTGTGCGGCGAGCGGCGCGGGGCGGGCGGGCGCCTGCGCCGGGGCTCACAGCTGCCGCGGCGCTAGCCGTCGCCGTTCGCTGCGTCGCTCGCATCCAGCTGGCGTTGCGAAACGCGGCCCGGCCCCACGACGCTACGCGCGCGCGTGCGACAGGCGAGCCGACGGCATTGGGCCAGCGGCGGGCGCCGCACCAGCCTCCTCGACGGTCGCCGCCTCCCGCGCGCGCGCAGTGCGTACGTCCGCCCGCCCCCCGCGTCTCCGCCCCCAGCCACGCCGCGACGTCTCCGCTGAGGCCGCCCCCCCTCGGCGCCGGCCGCTTCGCATGCGAATACCGTCTGGAGCGCCCCACGCGCGCTCCCGCCGCCGTCCACCCCGCCCGCGGAACGGTCCAGGAGACAGCCTGCTTGCCGCGCCGCCGTCGGCCCTCCCGCGGGACGCGTGGCGCACCCCGCCGCCCGCGACGCAGGCGCCCCCACGCGCGCGGCTGCCCCGACCCCGCCCCGCTGCAGGCCACACCACCCCCTTCCTCGCGCACGAGGCAGCGGACCGTCGCGTCGCTCGGACAGGCGTCGACCCGGAAGTTGTCGGCCGCCTCCGCCGGTTGCCTGCCCGCCCCGCCCGCCGCGCTCGCCAACTGAGGCACCCCGTCGCCCGCCGCCGCCTTCTGCGGGTCGAACGACCTCGGCGCGCGCGATTCGGGCGGAGCGCCGCTACGGCCGTGCGTGCGTGAGCCGTGAGGCGGGCTGACAGTGCGTGCGGCGCGAGCGCCGCTGGCGGGTGTTGTAGCGTGCGTCTCGTGGCTAAGCTGCAGCTCTGTGCGCACGTGAGGAAGCCTTTTTTTTCTTGCCGAACTGGGACGATGCAGGACGTGATCTGTGGGAGACGGTGTGGTTCGTTGCTGAGTGATTGAGAAGTGCCTTTGTGGAACCAGAGAATTTTTGCGAATATATTACTGAATTAAGGTGAGAGATTTTTACTTGAAAGTGTATTTGCGTGTCAACATACTGTTGTCTCGTGTGGTAAATCGAGTACACCCTGCAGTGTTCTCCCGACCAATACTATTTTAGCATCCTTGTGGCGTGGTGTATCGTTGGTGACGTAGTGGTGAAGAATTTCGGTGACATTTCCGGAGTAGTCGACGAAATGCCTTCGACCGTCTCCCGCAGTGGCGAATCGTCTTGGCAGGTTTCTCTGGGAGCTATTTCAAGTAACTACCCCGCGTCCCGCCCGTCTGCTTTTGACGTCACTAGTTTCTCTGCCATGCAGCGATGTCGTCATCTCATGCGAAGTTTGGCGACCTGAAAATTTTGGGGCCCCTTTAAAATGACCCAAAGTTGGTCGATTTTTTTTTTTTATTGGGAATTCGATTCACTAACAATGTTTTCACAAAACGTGTATTTGTAGAGTGTACTGCGTAGTATTTGCGAAATATTTCGAGTATTCGAAATATTTGAGTAGCGATAATGAACGGATAAGCAGATTTTGCGTTTTTATTCCAACACAGGAGTGAATTTTTCTAATTGCACATTAAGATAAATAATAATAATAAAAAAAAAAAAAACTTGAAGGGTCCGTCTGAGAAGAGTCCTGCACGTTATTGTTTTGAACATTGTGGTTTTTAAATAAATGTTCTGAAAAAAAGTATGTTTCCATGCCAAGCATTGAGTTATGAAGATGGACATACGACTTATTAAAATTTTAAAATGTTAATCCTACACAAATCCAGCATTTTTCACAAATAGATAACACCGTATTTTGATATTTATTCAGTTGATTTTATCTCATGAAACTGTGATTTAATGCATATTAATGTTGTTTTGGTGAGAAAAATGTTTCCTTTTTTATATTCATTACTGTGCAATTTATGGATCTAAAAGAAAGACGAATCGCACAAAGAACCTCCTGTAACAATAAATAAAATCCCATGATGTAATTTGTTTGTATTTAAAACAATCAATTCTCTACATTAATGAACTGTGTATTGCTTCCCAACATATTAATTTCATTAATCTTCAACCCATATAAATATTGGTATTTATTCTTAGAAGTTGCTGACCAAAAACTTTTATCATGCTCCAGTTTGTTTTTCAATTTCAAAAATAAGTAACAAATATAATTTGTTTGTTGCAGCCTCAACAGAATGCATATCATGGATGACGACTCTAACAGGACAGCTGCAGTTGATGAGGCTCCGAGGAATAATGGATCACTTAAGTCTCGACGTAAATCCTTACCTGCTGAATCAGAAAAGGATTCTGATAGCGGGAAGGAGAATGGACCTACTCGTGAAACTGTTGAGGAAAAGGTAGCCATTGGCAAGGAAGTTGTACGTGAGCTCTCGCCTGTTGCTCCTCCTGAAAAATCTGAGCCAGAAGATACAGAAGTAAAAGAAAATGATATTAAGGAAGAAAAGAAAGGTATATTGTTCAAAAAGTATTGCATATATTTGTATATTTTTAGTAAATATCAATTTTAATATTATTTATTTTTTGAAATACATTAACAATGGATAAATATACACAAGTGACCCCAGAGTCAAACATTCTAAATTATGTTTTGTTGAAGGAACACAAAACCTTAATTTCACTATGAACAACCTTCATTTAAAAAAATACTGATTCCATAAAAGTAAAGTTTATTTAGAAACATAGTTTTTACAAAGAATGTGTGAATTTTCTATTGAGGCAAGTTGTAATGCTTTAAAGTGTGTTTATCTATTCTCAATTGTGTTGTTCAGTTTATTTAGTGATTTTCTTCTTTTTGCAGATGCTCTCAAAGAGAGTATCAAATCAGAAGAAGTGTCAGCTGAGGAGGGTGCTGAATCCACTGAACAAAACAAAAAAGACGAAGAAAACGACAAAAATGAAACAGAGTCCTTGGGAAATGAAGAAGAAGAGAAAGCCTGTAGTGAAAATATGGATTGTAATTTAACAGATGTGCATGAAGAATCAAAATTAGAGGTAGAGGAGCACAAAGTTGAGGAAAACATAAGTATGCCTCAATCTCCTGCAGAAGATGATGATGTCAGTCATGCTAGTAGCCCTGGTCACCATCAAACAGATCTGAAGCAGCCTAGTGATAGAGCAAGGAAAAGAGGAAGTAGTGAAAGTGATCAGGATTCTCCCATTGTGAAGAAAATGAAGTTGACTCCAACTGAACTTGCAGAACGAGAACGAATGGTTAGTGATTACGTAGACAGTGCTACAACAACTAGTCTTAGAGAGATTCAGCGGTGTTCAGAAAAGCTTCAGCAGGAAATAAATACACTTAATGCTTTAGCACGTATCAAAGAACAAGAATGGAATGAAATTATTAGAGGTAAGAAGATTAAGGAAGAGATGTACCTTAGATTGCAACGTAGGAAGGATATAATGATGATTATGATGAGCTCTCCAAGTAAAGGTGATGCAAACTTCTGGGACATGCCTTATGACTTAAGAATAGGTGAGAATAGTTTAGAAGATCTGTCAACGAGCCGAAGTAGGGTATCAGAAACAAATGTTAATGCTGCGAAAACCAGTGGGTCTAAAAACAGTTCTAAGACACACAATAGCCTTTTGAACCAGCAGCACGTGCAAACTACTGCACCGGGTGTTTCAATTTTGAAGAGTGGTCAAAATCAGTTGCCTGTAATGATGCTACCTGTTGTATCTTCAGGAAATGCACATACATCTTTGAATTTGTCTACATCTTCTGGAGCTACTACAATGACACGTGTTTCTGAAAATGGCAGTAAAGATAAAGTTAGCAGCAGGTCTCATAGACCTATTCTGCCCAAACCAACAATTGTGATACCACCAAGTAATTCTTCTACATCCAGTAATAACAATGGGCAGAATCCTGTTATTGGTGAAGGCCGACAAGGACCTATTCTTGATGTGAGGTCTATAATAGCTGATTATCGTTCAAAACATCCTGGAGATGTACCACGTCGTGGCAGAAGATTAAAAAGTGCTTTGTCTCCAAATGCTAGTGCACAGGGTCCCGAGAATCTTGTGACATCAACTAGAGTCAGTGGCACTGGAGGAATTCTCAGCATGGCATCGGTAGCACTAGGTTCAGGCTCTCAAATGAGACCTGGGCTAATGGGGTCTTCACCAGCTGAAATTCCTGACCTTGGGTTCCTTCTGAACAACACCGGAGAAGGCAATCGCATGGAAAGTTCACGACCATCAAGTGCCGACTCTTCACGAAGTGGCGCACCTTCAACTCAGATGCCTGCAGAGTCAGGAAATGTTGGGAATGTAGGCAGCATAAGCTTCAAGGACGTTTTAGTTCAGTTTGCAAAATTAAGTCAGAATGAGCAGCGACATGAACCACCGGTTCCTACCACCACTGCTTCTTCAGTTGTGAGCGCTGCTGCTGCTGCTGCCAACAAAGCACCTCCGTACCCGGAAGTCACCCTCCACCCTGTCCTGGCCCCTCATTCACCACCTCATCAATCACCCTCTACTTCATTGCTGCATGGTATCCTGACAAAATCCACCACCATGCAGCAGCAAAGGGCGGAATCTAATGCTAGGGCCACCACCTTTTCTCCCACGCTTGCCAGATTGCTTACAGCTCCAGAACGAATTCCTGGGAGTGTTCCTAATACTACAGTCACTCCATTTCATGGTTCTGGTGGACCAGTATCCATTTCAGATTTACTGTCAACATCGAAAGTGAGTAAATTATTTTAATATTTTATTGTGTTTATGAGAATACATTATATTTGAAAATCACTACCAAACACAGCCCATTGCAACTCTGCAAAATAAATCATTAATTTAAACTTCTTTTGATTGTTTCAGACAAGAAATGAAATCACAATTACTCCTGTTGCTTCTCAGCAGCAAGTGAAAACCAAAGAAGAAGTTGTTCTTCTGGTGAGTTATTCTGATTCTGTAAAGAAACAAAAGACGGAATATTGGTATTTTACATTCTGAGTTATGGAAAAAACTAATACAAAACAGTTCAGAGTTGAAATATCAGTAATAGTCTCTAAGTTTTCTGAAAAGAAGAAAAAAAATCATTTTAAATAGTTATTTTGCAGTAGTTTAAGGTTCACAATAGACACCTGGATTAGTGTAGTGTTCACCACCTGAAATATTTGACCTTCAGATCCTTCTGAACATGTGATAGGCCTTGCATCCCTCAAGACTATTATGATAACAAAATTCTGAATTTTTTCCACTTTAAATGAAGTTAATTGTACTAACTATCAAAAGTTATTCAGTTTTGTATTTTACATTCAAAAATAGATTTCAGTATTGATATCTTTTAGAAATCCTAAATCAATTCTTAGCCGAGTGGACAAAAATCAAAAATAATCCAAGAATTTGATACTATCAAGGAAACTCACAGAATTATCAGGGAAATGTAATACTGTGTTTGGAACTTGGACTTCTGTTGTTGTTTTTTTTTTAAAGTAAATTTTATGTACTCATCTTCAAATATCTAATGAAATGCATTACAATCATTTCTCATTATTTTTTATTCACTATCTTAATATAACAACTTCTATTCTATTAATATGCAAGTCATCTTTATGAAAATCTCTTCAAACAATTCATGGGAGGTTCAAAGAAAATGCACATCTTAAATATTTAAGATTTGAAACATTTTGAACCAAAAATCTAGTTTATGTAGTATTTCTTGAAAATTTCCTAGATTTGACACAAAATTACATGAAAACTACTCAAGTTTTGAAAAACATGAAATGTTTTAAGGACTTAATATTAAAGAAAAGATTGCATTTAGAAAGAAACCATGTTTCAATAATGAACCTGTAGGATGCGTTGAACTTTCACAATTTTTGACATTGCAGAGGTTTTAATGAAAATTCGACTTTTACTATGTTTATAACAGTAATTATCTACTTTTGAACAAACGATTTGAAGCAACAAATTGAGAAAACTTTGAAAATATCATAAGAGCCTAATGGGCAACGTAGCCCAAAAATTAAACGACCTGTTTCAAATTTGTTGGGTCTTAATTTTGGTCAGATTGAGTGAGAAATATTCACTTTGTGGAAAATCCTGTTTACAATTTATTTGCTAGTATTGTTCATTTAATGGATGCACAGACACAAACGTTTTTAAAGCAACATTTTATATTTTAAGTATCTCAATAATTTTTTTAAGCAATACACAACTTTGTGTCTAAATAAAGGCTTTGATTTGTATATTAGCATTAAAAAATTAAAAAGGCTTGATATAAGAATCATTGTTTTATGTTGTTATTAAATGCAAAATTAGTTCAGAGGTAAAATTAAATATTGATAATAATATTTGCATTCCATGAAACTAAACATTTAATGATTGAGCTAAACACCAAGTAGCAGTATTCAGTTCTCTTCGTAAACTTCCCGGAATAGGTGGTGATAGGTGAATACTAATATATAATATTAGTTTGAAATTAATTGGAAATGTATACAATAACAATCTACTTTAACATGAGAAAATTTTTTTTTTGAATAACAATTTATTTCAAATTTTTTGTGTGGATGTATTAAATTTTTGGATCTCACATCTTTTTGGGCTCCTGAAGATTATCTGATATGCCGACACCTAAGGCACTGCTTGAGAATATAATATCAGTGATTTGATGTTAAATTTTCTTTTAACAATAACCACATGATTGTAAGGAATGGTTTAATAAAAATGTCTGAGATATCTAAAAATAATAATGGTTGATAAAGAAATATCAGTCTCAGAATTTGTTCAAAAGAATTCTTAGATTTTGAAAATGGTAATTTTTGAATTCCTTTTTTCTACAAAAAATAGGAACTGAAAGCTTTAGCAACAGAGTCCAGTTTTCTGTCGAAAATTAAGGAAATGTATCGCATTTGCAATTCCTCTTACAATTAATATATTCTATATCTTAACATTTTAATAAAAAATTAAGTAGAAAATGTATCTTAAAATATTTTTAACACCATGAATAGAAAACTCTATTTCATTATGAAATTCATTCAACTTAGTGTGTATAATAACTATTATAACTACCACATTGTATTTTATTTGTTCAGGTTAGCTTTACAAATATTTGTTTTAGTGAGAGGTTAGAGGCTTCAGCTATGAGATATAACTGAGAGATTATAGTATAGTATATTACACTGTTCCTACAGAATACTGTTGTAAATAATTTCAGAAAATTAGGAAATTCCTTGCAAGTATGTTTTCTGATATAAAGTTAATCATAATTATATATTTAATATCTGGAATAGATCTAGATTTCATAGTAAATTGTTATGTTCCATGTTGGAGTAGAGCATTATCTGTATAAAAATATTTGAATTTGTAGTTCTCGTGAGCATGGTAAGGTTAGGCATTGACAGTGAGAAATTGTAAAAATGGTAAGGAATCATAGATATCACTGTCTTCAGTAGAACATTTATTTCATAATTACTCATAAAATGATTCAAACTAATATAGTAAGATTGAAAGAGGATACCACTTTTTGATTACACACTTTTCAAATAATCCTCTTAGTAATTTGAAGTTGCTAAAGTATAATTATAAAAATGAGAGAAAAAAAATATTCTTGTTACAGGAAGAAGAACAAGAAGACAGTGCAGACAGACTTGTAATTGATGAATCAGTAGATGGTGATACTAGACGAGATGGTGAAGATGAACAGGGTACAGCACAGGACATTTCTCCTGATGAGGTGCCGGAGTGCCAAGGATGTCACCAGCGGCCTGCCCAGTTTGTGTGTGCAGGTTGTGGCAATCAGTGGTACTGTAGTAGAGATTGTCAAGTGAGTATTATTAGCAGAACATATTTACATTTATTCTTTCACTTATTTTAAAGATGTGATGTATTATGTAATTATAAATATTGTATTATGTATATTATTTGATGTTGGGTTTGATAATGGGATAATTATTTGTTTACTTTATTACTTATATACTTATTTTTTTCCTTTAAGTACTTCTTGCAAATTTGAAATTACTATTTTGTTGGGTTGAAAATATAACTGATACAATTAGAAATAATTGTTTTTTAAATTCAATTTTAAGGCCATATTTGTACTGGAGTTTAATCTTCTTTGATTCTGCAATTGATGTTGACAGAGCTGAAGTGGACTTAATTTTTTAACTTCCATAATATGCATAAGAGATACAATTATTGTTTTTCATTTGATAAATAGATATTGTAGTCTTACAAAATATTCCTTTTACTTGCAGGTATCAGCATGGGATGAACATTCTGAAGTGTGCTCTGGCTAACTTTCAATATTATATAACTTTTTGCACTACTATAAACATAAACAAGAGGAAATAATTATTCAGTGCCAAGATCTTTCTAACTTCCAGACCCAAAGTTCAAATTTCATCCACCTACTTCTGTACATGGACTGCAGATTATATGTTATTTATACATATCCTTCATTGTATGTAGTAGTATGTGACTGTCAACTTCTCAATTTATATCAGTGTTTGTACATGTTTATGTTACTTCTTGTACTTTTGGAAACCAAATGTTGCATTTCGGTGAGTGAAGTATTTCAGTTACCTTTTGCAAGGAGATAATCAGTGATGAATGCTGTCACTTTGTTACCGATTCTGTTGTCTCGAATTCAAACAAATTTGTATGTTGTTTGATAGGAGCTACAAAGCAAGAAAGCCTCTCGCAGATATCAAGTATATTGTGAGCAATATATCATTTAACAAGTCAGTTGGTCACTATCAACCAAGTATTGATTCACTTTGTATTTTCAAAAATATATATATATTTTTAGATTAAAAATAGAATAAAATTCTAGAAGATACCTTTTAATTAAGAGTGATACATATTTCTTTAATTGCTTTTTATGATTTCCTTAAGATTACTTATTTGTTTTCATTCTTCCATTCAGTTGCTTTTGGTTAATGATTGGTACTGTAAAGTATATTTTATCTTCTTGATTATTTTAATTGTTAATAAGAATGTGAAGGTTAGAATTAATACATAAATGGTATAAATAAATGTAGGTGCTTTTGTAAGTATAATATGAATTGAAATGTAACATTTATAAATTTTGAGTATTTATAATAAAAAAAGAAAGTCTTCCATGAAGTACCATTGCAGAAAGTATTTTGGGACAATTTCGGAAAACATTGCAGGCAAGGAGTTCAAAATTTAATTTAATATCTTGAAGGCCACTGCAAATACAAATGTCTCTTTTATGTCTGCGATTCTGTTTGCTACTGCTTATTTTATGTTTATTTTGTTTGCTAATGTACCCGTAAATGTCCTATTTCTTCAGGCCTTTCAATGTTTTTCATCCAAAGTTAAACATCAACATATCAAGAATTGACTTATTTGCTTCCCAAAGTGAATCAATGCATTAATTAAAGTATCCAGAGGGGGGATTGCATTTTCATTTAATTTATTTATAAATTTGAGGGAGACTTACAAATGCATGAATTTCAAACCAGTTTGTGGTTCTAGATACTGAATTTCTGTGAGAGATTTTCTTAATTTCCGATTTTACATTGTTGCTATCTCCTTGAAAAGATAAACCTTGAGGGTAATTTGATTGTTACCACAATTTGACAGGACACATCTCAAGTCAGTATCTGTTCAGCTGAACAGTTGTAGACGTATCTTGTGTAGTGAAATGTATGATTAATTGATTAATTTTAATAGTGTAAGAAAATGTGCTGTGATATTAGTGTTGTTTCTGTTTGTTATTTTGTGTTTATTGAGTCAGAAGTATTGTCAAATACATAAAGTTTCCTTTTGTGATTAAGGCAATTAAAATATGTCAGTTACATTTTATGCCAATAATTTATTTCTTCTCCTTATGACAGTCTTTCATCTATTTCACTTGTTGTACTTGTGAACATTGGTAATCCACCTATTCATTTGTCGTTCATCCTAAGTAATGTAAAATATGAAAGTCACCAGTAGAATTTCCATTTATGATTTTTGTTACCAATAAATGTTTGAAATGTTTGTCTTCATTGTCACCTTGTTCATATAAAATGAGACTTGTAATCAATTGTCCCTCAAAAATTACTCATTGCATTGTTCTGTTAAACAAGATATTGAATATAACTTTGCAAACTTGTTCAATATTCATGCTTGAGAAACAGAGTGTGAATGAAATCAATGTACAGAAAAAAACTGCATGAAAATATGGTTTTGTCATTGCCTTCATTTGAGGAAGGTTGATGAGCCAAATCATGTTTTCACTTTTATTGTGCTTGCAGTTGTCAGTGATTCCAGTGAAGAAATAAACATATTTTCGTTAAAATCACCTATGAGACATTGCATTTATTATTAGAGAATAATAGGTTCACCTTCTCCACTAAAACATTGATTACTGTTCAAATAACTTTGTTGCAATTATTTTCATGTCAGCAGCATCTAGTGATCTTCGCCAGAACACATTTATGATTAAAGGGTGGGGAAAAGATTCTGGAGCTCAAGAAAACTTTTGCAGATTGCACATCTCCCATGTACTCATGTATAGTTTTTACGGACCTTTGATAAAAATAAATCAAATGTTCCATTCATTATATAAATTCCTTCAAAAAACAACAACCACTGTGATTTGATCTTGATGGGTTTTGAGGTTTTGATAAGTAATTGATATGACTTACTGTAAGAAAAGAAATGAAGAAAACAAGTTCCCACTAACCTTTTTCCTTTGTTAGGCAACATCACTTCGTAACCATGTTAACAAAGTTAATATTGTGAACTGATGTCATTAAATGAGAAATTTTGGCTTTTTGCATATTCTTCATTTGAGGGAACAATTGTTAACATAGATAATTTTTAAATTATAAATACATTTAGGACTTTGGGACTCTTAAATTGCCATTTTATCCGTTTTAGGGGCCTAAAGTGGGCTTATAAAAGGTGAAAATAGGTGTAATAAGTATTAAGAGGCAGTGTAAATTGATATGAAAATAACTTTTCCAAATATATTTTATTTTACTTCAAGCTATTTTATTGACACTATTAAAATGGCACTTTTTGTCATAATATACCAGAAAAAATGAGAAGTGAAGTGAATGTCTTTGTCATTCATATCAGTGTATAAATTCAGAGTTCTGACATTGCCTATGTATCACAGAATAGTATTATTGTATCATTAGTATTATTGCTTACTTATCCGTTTGAAGCATGAGTGACAAAAATGGTTTGCCATACATGGAAAATAATACAATGAGCTTATCCAGTGTTGGAAAAAGAGTGCTTTTATTGCTTTTAATTTTGGCATCCTACTACTCAAGGTGTAAGATTTGTCCCACTCACACTGCAGACTTAGAAAACAGGAAGAACTAAATCGGTAGAATGTTTGATCAAATTATGTAGCTTCTGATTGTAGTTAGTATAAATGCCCAACTTCAGAGCATTGCCACCAGGAACAAAGGATAATGTGGGTATGAGGGGTAGCTATTCCCACGAAACATTTCAAGTGGTAAAATACCCACCCATGATTTGGAATGAGAGAAATATTCTACAAAGGTCAAATTCCAGAAATGAACAGTTTCTCAATATTGTGTCCGCTTAAAACATACATGCATCTCTATGTTGCAAGATCGGCTAAAGAGTATTGCGATTTTATAAATGCAGCGGCATGACCAACTTAATCGATTTCTAAAAATTGTTAACAGAGTTTATATAAAAAATGCAAAGAGTAGCGCTGTTTTTTGCATTGCAAAAATGAACTCTTCTGAAGTAACATAAAATAAATGTGATGTTAAATAAATGTTATAACAATTGATGACAATTTTTAAAAAAATGTCATTAATTTTTCCCTTCATATATATTTTCAGAGTGGGAGGGGGCCCCCACCCAGGTCAACTCCCTACTTGGGCTTACCACCGACTGCCGACCCTAATTGCCAGAAAGAAACCTTGCAGAGTAATCTTAATTGTAATTTTGAGACAATTGCTAGCAATATGATGCTCTGAAACTGCTTGTGAAGATGAACCACCCTTGTAAATTATAGCACTTTTTTTCTTTGTGAAACAACCTTATAAATAGCAAAACTGATTTTAAATAATTTAGGATATTATTTTATTATTATTTATTTACTTATATAGTAGCAGCATAGCTGATAACATATGTACCTGTTTCTACAAAAAGGTATGATAGAACAAAACTATCTTTATAACGTGTTTATATTTGCATAGTATCTTGTTTATTTCAGTTTTTCTTCGACATGCATTACATCACAGATTGAATCTGACCTTGTCGACCTGAGTTTTGAGGGATGCAAAATTTCTTACTTCCTCTCAAGACCCTGGTAGTTCTCTAATGAGTTCACCACTCTATTTTTGGACAACACCCTCTGTGGTTTTTAAAGACATTCAATATATATTTTTGTAACAAGGGCACCAGACTAGATTATCGTACTCTAGCATTGATTTTGCGTATGCCAAATAAGCTTTTAGAACTGTCTCTTTATTAACCATACCTTCTGTATCAGATAAAATGACTTGTTAGGTTGTCACACCTCAGGCTTGGCTTTTTCACTAAATTTTCATGTTTTCCTTTTTAAAATTCATGTTGTCCTGTGATTCCAAGATAAAGGAAATAATACAGGAAGAAATAATAAAAAAATTTGTGAAACATCTAAAAAAAAATTATTACTGAATCTTGATTTTTCATACACTTTTTGTACACCATGTGATATGTAAATATAATCCTATTTATTTAGATACTGAAAATGATAATTTATTCTCATTATGTTTATTTTCATATGTTTGTTGTAATTTCTTCCTCAGAAGAATTCATTTTACAATAATGCTTTACTAATCGATAAATGATTTATTTTAAAAAGAATTATAATGAACAAATTTATTATCATTATTATTACTAGCAGTAGTAGTTTAGTAGAAGTTGCAGCAACTTGCTGAATGAGATTGCACAAGGCAGATTGTAAATCCCAAGGACTTTGGACTTCCAATAATTAAAAAGTAACATGCACTCTCAATGATTATCCAGAAGTTTCTTCTATTATTTTGAAAAGTTAAAAACTAATACACAGCGTAAAGAAGCTCCCGAAGTTTAAAGGGCCCATAGGTGGTCAAAATTACTCTAGCAAATATTTCAGAATGTTTATTAAGGACAAAGCTACACAAAATGAACTGCTTTTTAGAACAGACCAAAAAAAGTAGTAGGTATTTGGACTAAGAGGAAAGGCAAACACAGAGACATAACACGATGGGAGGCAAAGTATATTTCCTGTTGAAAAAAATTATAGAATCTGGCTTATATTTTCCTTAGAACTTAATTTTTTCATTTATGTGTCTGATTTTTAAAGTGGCACCTGTATTTGCTTTGAGCCCTGCTGACAGAGATGCACACTAGTGAACGGTCTCACTAAACATCCTGACCTGTCTTTTCAGACTTAATTTTTCATTGAGAAATTCAGCAAGCACGTTGCAAACAAAACCCAAATGAGAATCCTCCCTAAGGGCATAAAACACCGCAAGTTTCCTTGTGGGTCAACATGCATGGACTGGAAGAGATACTTTGCACCATATATTTATAATAAATGTACACATGGAGGTCAATACTGTAGTCAAACCAGTCCAGAGGAAGAAACAAAATGACAGAAAAGTTTTATATTGATTCAACCTTGGAATTATTTTTTATATTATTTTATTTAACAGAACAAAGAGTTAAAAACTGTATGTGATGTACTGTGGGGAGAAGTGTATTCAGTGCATATTTTCTTAAATTCAGAAATCCTTACCCTAACCCATTAACAAGTTGAATTCTGAATACAGATGGAAATGAGCATTTTCCGTAAGAATTGATAAGTGCAATAAAAACGATTTGCAATGGCAAATCAGCTTTGCAATCAGTAGACTTTGGTTATTCTTCATTGTGCCATTGGTAAACCTGGTAGTTCCTGCCATGAGAACATGGAGAATAATAAGTTGAATAACTATATTTCCTACAGAACACTAAAAGATGTGCACAGATAGTGAAGTTACATTTGTGTCCAGAAACACAACAAGGGGCCATCTCAGCATTTGCTCAAAGAATCAGGGAAATCGGAAGAAAATACAGACCAAGGTGAGGGTCATTGACCCAGAAGCCAAGGTACAATTCTTGTTGTAGGTTGTTTAAAATTATACAGTCCAAATGGTTATTAATACATAAACAACGTGAAAATTAAAATTATTTTGGTTTTTGATGCTTGGTCATTCCCACTTCTCTTGCTTTGTTTCATCATAATTATATACTGAAAAGAAGAAAGGTTTATTGTCCCAAACTTGAAAATAATTAGATTGGGGAGGAGTAATACTTGAAAGAGAACTGCATATCTCAAGGAAGTAAAGCCTTTTTCCCCTCTATAGTTTTTAGTCAGGCATGCAGCAAAGAGGCAAGCACAGCCCTTCTGAGAAGAAACACTTAACTTAGGATTAGTTTCTTCATAATTATGTTGTTTGAAGTTGACAGTTGTTTAATGCAAAATTTTTCAAGAGGATTCTTGTTTCAACATTGCATAAAGTCATTGAAGTTTGGTGTTAGTGGTAATAACCAAAGGTCTTTCAGAACAATGTACTTGTCATTGCTTTGTAACATTACCCCTTTGTTTTTTGAAGTAATCAAACATTTTTAAAACTTGTCATGTTTATAACACAAGTGTGTGTTACTATGGTTTGAGAGGTAACTGCTTATATTGGAATACATATTTTAATTTTACCTATACCAATTGAGAACCAAGTAGTACTGCAAATACACTTCGCTGTTACTAAATATTCACCAGTTCAATTCCAATGTAAAGAGCAATATCCAAGTATGTTAAAACAAAGAGAAGTACAATCTTAAGCCACTTAAACCAATAATCCCAGTGGACTTTGGACCAGAATGTTACGGTTTGGTTGAATTTTGAGAATTTAAGTTCAATTCATAATCAAGGAAAGTTGTAACATGTGACATTAACAAAGATGTATGAACTTAAAAAATATTTTCGTGAATCTTTCTACACTAAGAATTGTATACTTGCTGCCAAAGTGCTGCATTTACCAAGAAGTATATTATGTCATTAAATGTTTATTAAAATAATTTATATTTCTGAGGAAATTGTCATCCCCCCAAAAAGAAAAAAGGTAAGGAATTAATACATACAAAATTATGTTCATTATAATTAAAATTTTAACAAAAATTACTACCTGAAAATTTACAAACAAACAAGTCTTTATTTTGCTCGACCTTTTTATTTCTACTTTGACAGTTCTCTTTCCTATGAAAATGCTTAAACCATTGTTTCTTTCTGCGAAACATACCTAAAGACAATATTTCTGAAACTTTTCTTAAGAGTGATGAACTAATCTCAGTAATAACTTAATTACACCCAACTTTGAATTGCATTATACATTACTACACAATAATTTGGGATCATTCAAGTACCAAT